AGAGACCCTGTAATAATTTAAATAGATTGTTAGTATTACTATTATTATTAATAGCCCCCACTTCTTGAGTTCCAACCAAGTGCCACAGAGGGTGGTGGGCTCTAATACAAGCAATCTCGCCTTGAATTCCTAACGAGAGGGTAGAGGGGAGGATCTCTTTCACAGAGGAAGACTCTGAGACCCAGAGAGAGGAAGGTATCTGTTCAAGTTCACACAGCAAGGGAAGTGGCAGAGTCAGATGTCAGACCTGGCTACATGGGGCTGGCTCACTGTCTGATGACGAGACAAGCAGCGGTCGTATTTATAAAGATATTATCTGTTCCCCAGACCCTGTGAGGCACCCCCCGCTCCCAACAATGACGAGCACTTCAGTCACCTGGGTGAGGTCACTTGGCATCATGCTGAAGCTCAGAGAGAGAAAGTGAATGACTCCTTGTGAAGTCATTCATTCAGCACTGGCCCCTGCCCGCGCCCCCGCCTCCCAGCCTTAGAATCTTAGCCCCGATTCTTGCTATGCTGTGTGATGCTGCATAAATGCTTGCACCTCTCTGAGCCTCCAAGGTGTCTTTCTTTTCTTTTTTCTTTCTTTCTTTTTTTTTTTTTTTGAGACGGAGTTTCACTCTTGTTGCCCAGGCTGGAGTGCAAATGGCGCAATCTCAGCTCACCACAACCTCCGCCTCCCGGGTTCAAGCCATTCTCCTACCTCAGCCTCCCGAGTAGCTGGGATTACAGGTATCCACCACCACACTCGGATAATTTTTTCTATTTTTAGTAGAGGTGGTGTTTCGCCATGTTGGTCAGGCTGGTCTCGAACTCCCGATCTCAGGTGATCCACCTGCCTCAGCCTCTCAAAGTCCTGGGATTACAGGCGTGAACCACCGCGCCCGGCCCAAGGTGTCTTTTTTATAATAAAAGGACCGTCTTTCATGGTAGAGTAAGGCAGTGGGCAAAATGTCAAGTCTGGAAGTGGACAGACACATTTTAATCCTATCTCTGCCACCCTCTTGCTGTGTAACCTCAAGCAACTCCATCTCCCTCTCTGAACTTCGGCTGAAAACCCCTACCTCCTGAGGGATAGAGCGGGGGCCCAGTGAGGGACACGCAGGGTGAGACAAGCGTTATTATTGTGTGCTGCTCTGAAGCAGGAGGCCCTGCAGGTCCCAGCTGTGTGGGAGAGTTTCAGGGAGGAACCCCAACTGGCCAGACCGGAAGAACTAGCATCTCGGGAGGGAGTGGGACCCAGGGTGGAGAGGTACCTCTTGCTCAGGCCTGCCCGGATTCTGGGCGCTGACCCCCGCCTGGCCCATGACCAGGGAACAGAAGGAGGTTTGAATGCAGGGCACCACTTAAGCCCGCTGCATGGTAGGTGGCTGGCTCTTCGAGATCCTTTGCAGATTTTATGGCAAAGAATCTAGAATCTGGCTCAGGGGTCAGTGCAGAGGCAGCCGCCCGCAATACAGATCACTCCCAGGCCTCAGACAAGGACCATATTCACTCTGGGTTTCTCGTCACCCTGTGGCAGAGCAGGCTCTGAGCCCAGTGAGGTTCCCAGCCTGACTCAGGCCCACTCCCTCTGGGACACACCATCTGGGACAAGTTAGGGAAGGAGTGGAGTCGGGGACAGGGCTGACTGTATAATTTTCCGGCCTCAGTGTGAAATGAAATGTAGAGACCTGGTTCAAAAGGCAGGAAAGAAGCTGGGCAGGGTGACTCACCTGTAATCCCAGCACTTTGGGAGGCCGAGGCAGCAGGATCACCTGAGATCAGGAGTTCAAGACCAGCCTGACCAACATGGTGAAACCCCGTCTCTACTAAAAACACAAAAAGTTAGCCAGGTGTGGTGGCGCACGCCTGTAATCCCAGCTACTCTGGAGGCTGAGACAGGAGAATCGCTTGAACCTGGGAGGCGGAGATCACACCATTACACTCCAGCCTGGGCAACAAGAGCGAAACTCCGTCTCACAAAAAAAAAAAAAAAAAAAAAAACCAGGAAAGAGTGTTATTAAAGGTACTGAAATAGAAACAGTTTTTTTTTTTTTCATTTCTTCTGCCTCAATCTCTTTTTTTGGAGACAACCTCACTCTGCCACCCAGGCTGGCGTGCAGTGGCACAATCACAGTTCACTGCAGCCTCTATCTCCCAGACTCAAGCAATCCTCCCACCTCAGCCTCCCAAGTAGCTGCCACTACAGGCATGTGCCACCATGTCCAGCTAATTTTAAAATTTCTTTTTGTAGAAACAGGGTCTTGCTATGTTGCCCAGGCTGGTCTCAAACTCCTGGGCTCAAGTGATCTTCCTGTCTCAGCCTCCCAAAGTGCTAGGATTACAGGCATAAGCCACTGCACCCGGCCCTCAGCCTTTCTCTTGACCCCTCATGGTGTTTAATGTTATGTTCCCTTGGGCACAGAGATACTTGCGGGACCAGCACAGACCTTCAATGGTGGCTAGGGATCCTGCCCCACAACGTGGGCAACCTGGCTGGGTTCCCCGTCCCACCAGATGCCCACCGCCATGTTCCACCCAAGATACCATGAGGCACGAGTAGCCAACCCTGGTCTTGTGGCATGCCTGCAACAGGGGTGGAGGGTGCCAGTGATCAGGGGCAGAGTTAAGAAGGGGACAGGCTAGGCGCAGTGGCTCACGCCTGTAATCCCAGCACTTTGGGAGGCCGAGACGGGCAGATCACTTGAGGTCAGGAGTTCAAGACTAGTCTGGCCAACATGGTGAAACCCTGTCTCTACTAAAAATACAAAAATTAGCCGAGTGTGGTGGCCAGTGCCTAAAATCCTAGCTACTCAGGAGGCTGAGGCAGGAGAATCGCTTGAACCTGGGAAGCAGAGGTTGCAGTGAGCCAAGATCGCGCCACTGCCCTCCAGCCTGGGTGACAGAGTAAGACTCCATCTCAAGAAAAAAAAAATGGGGTGAGGACAAGAGTGGAAATTTGTCCCAGAGAGGTGCGGCTGCCTCATCATGCTTTCATTGTCTCATTAGTCTTAGCTTACAAAACAGAAATTCAAAGATAAATTTACCAATTTCTACACGGTGACCACAGAGCGTTAAACCCAAGAGCAGGGCTCTTCTGAACACGGGGAGCTGTCGTCTACATTGGTCAGATGTCCATGAAGCAGGATTCAGTAAGGGACCTGGTTTGCAGAGGGGCTGGGGGATGAACTGATCCAAGAATCCAGATGCCACACACCTGAAGGTAGAGGCCAAGGGACACTTAGAGTCCCAGAGGACCTAGGAATTTGGGTGTCTGCACTCCCAGGACTCAGAGCACTATATCTGGGTCCTCAAGGGAACTTTTTGAGGCAGGAAAGAGCTGTCTCCAGAGTGACAGCCTAGAGTGCTCAAGTGGGGGACCCTGGAGGACTGTAGAGGCCCAGAACAGGCACCTGACCCGGCCTAGGGTTCAGGGAGAACTACTTGAAGGGGTGCCGTAGATGAGACCTGAAGGATGAAGTCAGCCAAAGAGCTCTGCCTGACTTGTTCATGATGGTCCCCAGCCCTTAGCATCACTTTCCCATCCGTTTATTCAACCACCAGATGTTCCCTCCATACCCAGTACACACCAGGCCCTCTGCTGTACCAAGGGCTCAGTGGTGACCAAGACAGCGCTCACTCCCAGTCCAGAGCAAGAGACAGACTCAACAGCAGTGATGATCCTGGGTAGTCAAGGCCATGATGAGAGAAGCACAGGATAGAATGATCAGGGTTGGGCATGGGGAGGCACAGGTGGAGTGGTCAGGGTTATAATGAAAAGCCCAGGGCCAGGAGCAGTGGCTCATGTCTGTAATCCCAACACTTTGCGAGGCTGAGACAGGCAGATCGCTTGAGCCCAGGAGTTGGAGCCTAGCCTGGCCAACATGGTGAAACCCCATCTCTATTAAAAATACAAAAAAAAAAAAAAAATAGCCAGGCATGGTGTGGTGGCGGGTGCTTGTAATCCCAGCTACTCGGGAGGCTGAGGCAGGAGAATCGTTTGAACCTGAGAGGTGGAGGTTGCAGTGAGCCGAGACTGCACCACTGCACTGCAGCCTGGGCGAAAGATTGAGATTGTCTCAAAAAAAAGAAAAGCCCAGAGGAAGCATCTGACCTGCCAGGACAATCAGGGAGGGCTTCCTGGAGAAAGAGACTTAACACAGGAACTAAAAGCTAAATGAGTAGTAGGGTTTTCATGGAATGGGGAGAGGTGCCTAAGCAAAAGGAACAGAATGTACAAAGGCCCAGAGGTGAAAGGGAAGAGAGTTTTGTTTTTTGTTTTTTTCCACTTTCATGCAATGAGACATGCTCTATGGGGTTGGGAACAGCAGTGGCCAGGACAATGCTGGCTCTGCCTCATGGAGCTCCCAGTGCATAAAGGACACAGATCCATCGCCCATGATGACCCAGGGTCCTCAGGGATGGGATGATAGAGCTCAAAAGGGGGTGCCTGACCCAGCCAGGAAAGTCAGTGAGGGCTTCCTGAAGGAGGTACCAACTGAACTAAGGCTGGAAGAATGAGATGCAACTGATTAAGGGAAGGAGGGGGGCCAGGCATAGTAGCTCACACCTGTAATCTCAGCACCTTGGCAGGCTAAGATGGGGGGATCGCTTGAGTCCAGGAGTTGGAGACCAGCCTGGGCAACACAGTGAGACCCCATCTCTATAAAAATATATAAAATTAAAAAAAGAAAAAAAGGGAAGAAAAGGGCAGAGGGAACAACGTAGGCAAAGGCCTAACGGGGGGAAGCCTAGGAGTTCCTAGAAATTTCCAGCAGCTGGTCAGGCCAGAAAGGGTGGAAACAGAAGGGACTACAAACTAAAACAGCAAAACTGCCAAACACTAAGGACGCAAGCCTCTCACCCTCTTCTCCCAGCCATGACCTTAGAGTTGAAGGCCTCCATTCCTAAAGACAGCCGGCTGTGGGACGCGTGGCTCCCAGAGGTACCGATAACTCAGATGTCCTGCCTAAGGGCCAAGGGGCCCCGGACGCCTAGGCTGGAAACCACAGCAGCAATTCCTGTTTTTCTTCCGTATTTAATTCGGTATCACAGGAGCATCAATAAATAGTTTCTTCCCGCCCCTGCAATCTTCCTCCTGCCCCGGGCAGGGCCTCAGGGGTTGGCGATCCCGTCGGGGGCAAGGCACCTGCAACCCAGAACGCAGCAGCTCAGGCCAGCCGAGCTGTGGGGCCTGCGGAATTCCCAGGAAAGTTCCAACGGCGTGCGCCCAAGTTTGCCGGCAGTGGGCGGGGCCTAGGAATGCCCTCGCGCCTGCGGAGCCTCGAAGGGACTTCCCCCCAAGTGGGCGGGGCCACTCAGGGGGCGTGGTTTTCGTCAGCTGCTGTCACAATGACGTCCATCCAAATGCGCATGGCTTCGGGACTCGGAGCCACCATGTAGAAAAGGCGTTCGTAGGTTTTCACGCAGAAGGTCAGGCGGGGGCTGGGGCTCTGGAATAAGCAGAAAGTGAGGGTAATGAGGACAAAAGACACTGGCCACAGTCTGGGTGCGAACCCAGCCTTGCTACTTACAGTCTGTGTGGCACTGGACAAGGTACTTAAGTATCTGAATGTCAGTTTCCCTGTCTTCCCAAATGATGCCACCTACCTCACTGGGTTATTAGGATTAAATGAATTAACACAGGAAAGTACTTAAAATTAACATATGTAGAGCGCTATTGATAAATTATGGGCAAGATAATTTTTTTTTTCTTTTTTTTTTTGAGACGGAGTCTCGCTCTGTCGCCAGGCTGGAGTGCAGTGGCGTGATCTTGGCTCACTGCAACATCCACCTCTCGGGTTCAAGCGATTCTCCTGCCTCAGCCTCCAGAGTAGCTGGGATTACAGACGTGCGCCACCATGCCCGGCTAATTTTTGTATTTTTAGTACAGACGGCTTTTCACCGTGTTGGTCAGGTTGGTCTCAATCTCTTGACCTCGTGATCCACCCGTGTCGGCCTCCCAAAGTGCTAGGCTTACAGGTGTGAGCCACCGCACCAGGCCAAAAAATTTAAAAGTAGGATTTATGGCGCCTTCTCTCAGCCTAACTTCTCCTATATTAGAAATACAGGCATTCAAATTCCACCTCCCCAAAATCTCAGTCCCCTCGTACCTTGGGAAAGTTAGTGTCTAGAATCCGTTATTGAGTACCCACTTGCCAATCCCAAATTGAGTAAATCCCTTATGTCCATAATCTGTTTTTAGTCCTCTCAATAACCCTGATGGAATGCGTTGATGCATGCCCGTTCTACACATGAGAAAACTAAGGCTGGCTGGGCTGGGTGGCTCGTGCCTGCAATCCCAGCACTTTGGGAGGTTGAAACGGATAGACTGCTTGAACTCAGGAGTTGGAAACCAGCCTGGGTAACATAGGGAGACCCCATCTCTACAAAAAATACCAGAAAAACAAAACAAAACAAATTAGCTGGATGTAGTGGCGCACACATATAGTCCTAGCTACTCAGGAGGCTGAGGCAGGAGAATTGCTTGAGCCTGAGAGATAGAGGCTACAGTGAGCTATGATTGTGCCACTGCACTCCAGCCTGGGCGACAGAGCAAGACCCTGTCTCAAAAAAAAAAAAAAAAAAAGAAGAAGAAGAAAAGAAACAAAGAAAACTAAGGCTAAAGAAAAGAATTCACTTTCCTGATGTCACATAGCTGAGATTCCAACCTAATTGCTAAAAAGCCACAGTGTGGTTATTCTCCACAGAGCTTTCTAAATATTGTATCCGTTGCCAACATTTAAATTTTTGGCACTGTGCTTTTATACAAGTTCCAATTCCTGAGTTCTCTGGGGCCCACTCCCACTTGGCAACTGTTGGCAGGAGCCAAGTAACAACCATTTTCTTTATTTGTTTTTCACTTAAAAATTCAAAAAAAAAGAGAGATGGAATATTGCTATGTTGACCATGCTCGAACTCCTGGCCTCATGCAATCCCCCCATCTCGGTCTCCCAAAATGTTGGGATTACAGGCATGAGCCACCACACCTGGCAGATCATCTCCTTTAGATGCTCCCAGGTTGCCCCACCCTTGCTCTGACCTCTTCATTCATTCCCAGTTTGACATCAGAGTTTGCCATATTTTGGCTCTAAAACTTTTGTTCCAAGAAAATTAACAGTGACAGGCCAGGCACAGTGGCTCATGCCTGTAATCCCAGCACTTTGGGAGGCCAAGGTGGGCAGATCATGAGGTCAGGAGTTCGAGACCAGCCTGGCTAACACAGTGAAACCCCATCTCAACTAAAAATACAAAAGTTAGCCAGGTGTGGTGGCACGCCTGTAATCCCAACTACTCGGGAGGCTAAAGCAGGAGAATTGCTTGAACCCAGGAGGCAGAGGTTGCAGTGAGCCAATATAACGCCACTGCACTCCAGCCTGGGCGACAGAGCCAGACTCCGTCTTAAAAATAAAAAAAGAGCCACGTGTGATGGCTCACGCTTGTAATCCCAGCACTTTGAGAGGCCAAGGTGGGCAGATCATGAGGTCAGGAGTTTGAGACCAGCCTGGCCAACACAGTGAAACCCCGTCTCTACTAAAAATACAAAAATTAGCCAGACACGGTGGCACGCCTGTAATCCCAGCTACTCGGGAGGCTGAGGCAGGAGAATAGCTTGAACCAGGGAGGCAGAGGTTGCAGTGAGCAGAGATAGCGCCACTGCACTCCAGCCTGGGCAACAGAATGAGACTCCATCTTAAAAAAGAAAAGAAAAGAGAAGAAAATTAATAGTAGCTGAAAGCCAGAGTGTGGGCTCTTAATTTTTAGTCCCTGCAGTCAGGTGACCTGTTTGTCTTCTCTGCGACAAACAGGTACTCCTGTAAGTACCCTGACAGGAGAAGCTGCGAGTGGTTTTCCCCAGGATGAGTCAGGGATGAGATAAGGCCTCACTCCAGCTGGGACTCCAACTGGGAGGGTAGGGTGACATTGAGGGACTTCACCTTGAAGGCACAGCGTAAGTGGTCGTAATAGACTTCCTCAATGGCCTGGAAGTAGATGACACCTTTGAGCTTGGTCTCTTCCTTGTCTGGTAGGGGAGGTAAGAGAAAAAGAGAGCCAATGAGAAAGGTGTATCTGTGTGTGTCGAGGTGAGGGTCATTGGCCCTAAGTCCTGAGACTGGATTTGGGGTACAAAACATGGTGACAAGAGTCTGAAGGTCTCTAACGGTTGAGAGGTGAGTGAATGTTAATGCTGGATGGGAGATTGGGTGCAGAAACTGGACACCACTGGGGAGTGGGGTCTGTGGAGCTGGAATCCTAGGCTCTGAGTGCCTTGGACTGTGAGAAGGGAAGGAACTCAGGGAGTACTCAAGTACTTTCTAGGTATAATCTCTAACCCCCTCAACCTCTCCTGGAGGGGTAAGTACATTTATCTCCACTTCACAGATGTGCAAACCAAGACTCAGAGGTTAAGTCACCCAGCACAAGTCACGCAGCCAGAGCTGACAGGGCCAGGACTCACTAGGTAGAGTCAGATGTTCACACAGGTTAGGGGAGAAGGATTTAAGGCAATACAAGTGTCTAAGGAGGCTGGGCGCAGTGGCTCACGCCTGTAATCCCAGCACTTTGGGAGGACAAGGCAGGCGGATCACAAGGTCAGGAAATCAAGACCATCCAGGTTAACACAGTGAAACCCCGTCTCTACTAAAAATACAAAAAATTAGCCGGGTGTGGTGGCAAGAGCCTGTAGTCCCAGCCATTCGGGAGGCTGAGGCAGGAGGATCGCTTAAACCTGGGAGGCAGAGGTTACAGTGAGCTGAGATCACGCCACTGCACTTCAGCCTGGGTGACAGAGCAAGACTCCGTTAAAAAAAAAAAAAAAAAAAGTGTCCAAGGAGAGGTTTGGAATAATTGATTCTCCTAGAGAAGAAGGACAAGGCCCGAGACTCCTGGCTGTTGGGG